TCTAAAGTATCGATACTCCAAAAAGTATAGATACTAAAACGTTATCCTTGATACGATACTCATTCTTAAACCTGTTCATTCTTAAACGCTTCTCTCTGATTTATTTATTTCTGTTGTTTATGATGATTTACGTTTACGTTAGCCTTGAATTGCTAGCTGCGGCTAATGGCTAATAATAACATTAATGTGGGCCACCATAACATCAGGAACAGGTCAGTTTGAAACCAAAGACACTAACCTGTCAAAATTCAGTTACATTTTGGGGTCTGTTTTCATCCTTGTGGTATTGGATATTTTCCTGGGTATCAGTATCCAGTTGAACATTTTATTTACGTTGTTTATGATCATTAGCATGACGTTAGCCTTGAATTGCTAGCTGCGGCTAATGGCTAATAATAACATTAATGTGGGCCACCATAACATCAGTAACAGATCAGTTAGAAACCAAAGACACTAACCTGTCAAAATTCAGTTAAATTTTGGGGTCTGTTTTTATCCTTGTGGTATCGAAAATGGTATCGAGTATTTTCCTGAGTATCAGTATCCAGTTGAACATTTTATTTATGTTGTTTATGATGATTACCTGACGTTAGCCTGGAGTTGCTAGCTGCGGCTAACAGCTAATAATAACATTAATGTGGGCCACCATAACATCAGTAACAGGTGAGTTAGAAACCAAAGACACTAACCTGTCAAAATTCAGTTAAATTTTGGGATCTGTTTTTATCCTTGTGGTATCAAAAATGGTATCGAGTATTTTCCTGAGTATCGGTATCGAGTTGAAAATTTTAGTATCGTGAGAACCTCAGTTGGGCCCCGAAGGGTCTCTCTGGGTCCCGTTGGGATTAGGGTTGTCAAAAGTATCCATACTCAAAAAAGTATGGATACTAAAACGTTGTACACGGATACGATACTCAGTCTCAAAAGTATCAATACCCCCCTTCTCTCAGATTTTTTAATTAATTTATTTACGTTGTTTATGATCATTAATGTGACGTTAGCCTTGAATTGCTAGCTGCGGCTAATGGCTAATAATAACATTAATGTGGGCCACCATAACATCAGTAACAGGTCAGTTAGAAACCAAAGACAATAACCTGTCAAAATTCAGTTAAATTTTGGGGTCTTTGTTTTTATCCTTGTGGTATTGAAAATGGTATCGAGTATTTTCCTGAGTATCGGTATCGAGTTGAACATTTTATTTATGTTGTTTATGATCAGTAGCATGACGTTAGCCTTGAATTGCTAGCTGCGGCTAATGGCTAATAACATTAATTTGGGTCACCATAACATCAGTAACAGGTCAGTTTGAAACCAAAGACACTAACCTGTCAAAATCCAGTTAAGTTTAGGGGTTTTTGTTTTTATTCTTGTGGTATCAAATATGGTATCGGATATTTTCCTGAGTATCGGTATCCAGTTGAACATTTTATTTGTTGTTTATTTATGTTG